GCTCACAGCAACCTCAAACTTCTGGGCTCGAGTGATCCTTCTGCCTCAGCCTCCCGGGTAGCTGGGACTACAGGCATGCGCCACCATGCCCGGCTAATTTTTTTTATATATATATCAGTTGGCCAATTAATTTCTTTCTATTTATAGTAGAGACGGGGTCTCACTCTTGCTCAGGCTGGTTTTGAACTCCTGACCTTGAGCAATCCGCCCGCCTCGGCCTCCCAAGAGCTAGGATTACAGGCGTGAGCCACAGCGCCCGGCCTACAAAATGCCTTTTTATCTCATATTGAAAATGCAGCTTTTATGTGGGTACAAGATTGCTATTAGAAAAGCATATCAATAGCCTCTAATATGATTCAAGAAAGAGCAAAATTATTATATGACAACTTAAAGCAAAGGGAAAGTAAAGGATCTAAAGCTGGAGAATATAATGCCAGCAAAGGATGGTTTGAAAATTTTAGAAAGAGGTTCAGCTTAAAAAATTTCAAGATAACAGGAGAAGTAGCTTCTGCCAACCAAGAAGCAGTAGACAAAAATTCCCAGATGCCATTAAGAAAATCATTGAGGAGAAAGGATATCTACCTGAACAGGTTTTTAATGCAGATGAAAGTGCCCAATTCTGGAAAAAAACAATGCCACAAAAAACATTAGTAAGAAAGACAAGTGAGCACCAGGATTTAAGGTAGGAAAGAATAGGCTAACTCTACTGTTTCTGAAAATGCAATCTGGTTTATTATCAGAACTGCTCTTACCTATAAAAATGCTAAACCCCAAACCTTGAAGGGAAAAGATAAAATTCCAGCTACCAGTCTTCTGGTTGTACAAGAAGGCCTGGACAAGAACCCTTTTTCTGGATTGGTTTCATTGATGCTTTGTCCCTGAAGTCAGGAAGTACCTTGCCAGTAAAGCACTGCCTTTTAAAGTTTTTTTGATACTGGACAGTGCTCCTGGCCACCAAGAACCCCATGAGTTCAACAATGAAGGAGCTGAAGTGGTCTACTTTTTCCCAAACACAATGTCTCTAATTCAGCCTCTAGATCAGGGGGTCATAAGGACTTTTAAGAGTCGGTACTGTCATCATTGTTATAGAAAAAGCCATGAAAGCTACCCAGCCCAAAATAATAAACTCCTGCTGGAGAAAACTGTGTTCAGATGTTGTGCATGACCTCATAGAATTTACAACAGAGCCAGTCAAGAACATTATGAAAGAGATTATGGATATGGCAAGAGGTGAGGGAGAAATTCAAGAGCTAAAAGATACCACACCAGAGGAATTAAAAGGTGACTTAATGGAGAGATAAGTACCTCCAAACTAGTGCCAGATGATGAGGAAGACATAGAAGCAGCAGTGTAAGAAACCAAATTGATGTTAGACAATCTGAGTTCTGATTATTCAAGACTGCTTTTGACTTCTTTTATAGCATGGGCCCTTCTATGATGAGGGCATTGAAACTAAAGCAAATAGTAGAAGGATTGGTGCGACATACAAACATTTTTAGAGAAATGAAAAAGCAAAAATGTCAGACTGAAATTATGATGTACTTCTGTAAAGTTACATCTAGCATGCATGCCTCCCCTTCCACCTTCTCTATGTCTTCCACCCCTAAGACAGCAAGACCAATGCTTCCTCTTCGTTCTCCTTCTCTTTAGCCTGTTCAACATGAAGAAGATGAGGATGAAGACCTTTATGATGATCCACTTCCACTTAATGAATAGTAAATATATTTTGTCTTCCTTATGATTTTCTTAACATTTTCTTTACTCTAGCTTACCTTAGTGTAAGAATACAGTATATATATTAACATACATAATATGTGTTATTGACTGTATTATTGACAAGGTTTCCAGTCAACAGTAGGCTACCAGTAGTTAAGTTCTTGGGGAGTCAAAAGTTATACATGCACTCTGGGAGGCAGAGGTGGGCGGATCACTCGAGGTCAGGAGTTTGAAACCAGCCTGAGCAAGAGCGAGACCCTGTCTCTACTATAAATAGAAAGAAATTAATTGGCCAACTAATATATAGAGAAAAAAATTAGCCGGGCATGGTGGCACATGCGTGTAGTCCCAGCTACTCGAGAGGCTGAGGCAGGAGGATCCCCTGAGTCCAGGAGTTTGAGGTTGCTGTGAGCTAGGCTGACGCCATGGCACTCACTCTAGCCTGGGCAACAAAGCGAGACTCTGTCTCAAAAAAAAAAAAAAGTTATACATGAATTTTCAACTGCACAGAGTGCTGTTGCCTCTAACTACTGCATTGTTGAAGGGTCAACTGTACTTAGAGACTTTTTGGAATGTAGTTGGTATTATGAACCAATAAGAATGCTCATGTACTTTGGCTTGGTAATCTCATGCTAGAAATTTTAATTCAACAAAAGAAAGATCTATTGTGGTACAAACTATGCCACACTCATTCAACTTAAAGTCAAATAGGAATACAGAAAATTATAGATTAATTAGAGGATATAAATTAACCATTGGAGTAATAGTTTTAGCTTTAATTGAAAATAAGAATTTAAGATTATATGTATGACTGAACTATGGCAAAATATATATGAATACTGGCATAAAAATGAATGGTAACACAAAAATAAAAAATATAGAATTGGCTATTACCTTCTTTGTAAAGTTTATAGTTATATAGTTTTTTGTTTGTTTTTTTGCTTTTTCATAATTTAAAAGGAGAAAAGCTTCTCTACACATAGTAACATTTAAGGAGACCTATTGAATACAGGAATTTGTTACCCTATGGTAAATATATACAAAGAAGACATTTGTCAAGAATTGTAGTCATGATAAAATATTCCACAATAGCAAGAAAAGAAGTATCTGATTAGCTATTATTAGATGTCTATAACCTAAATAAGAAGTATGTATTGTTCCATGATCATCTAGTTGACAAAGACAGCAGGGTTTATTTTGTTGTTTTTTTAAACCTCCCAAATAATAAAATTCTAGAAATCAGTCAATTCCATGAACAAGAATCAGGTTTCTTTCTTTTACCACCACAGTTCATCTATTCCATATATTTTTTCCTACTGTTTCCTAAAACTAATCCTATGAGGTTATCTAGCATAACAGTTATATTACAAAATCTCAGACTTTCAATGAAGCTTTTTGAAGTTTTTCTTTTAGATGTTTACCATGTTCAGGAAGGAGAAATTGATAGCAGTTTGTGATCACTATTGCAATGAGAACAAAGGAGATATCATCTCAAACTACTTAAACAAGTACCATTACCCATAATTTTCTGATGATAAAACTAACACAAGATAAAATTATTCCTGCCCCTAATAAATCCATTCAATGAATGGTTTGATAAGAGAAATCATTAGAGGGAGTTCTATGGTTCTAATGCTGCTTTATTAGATGACAATCAAGTCATTTATTAATGGTACACAAGGCCTTTTCAAGGTGACTCCAATCTATTTTCCCAGTCTTTTCTTTAACTATTGGTCTTTACAGATTCCATGGTTCCAACTTTACTAGATTATGTACCTTTCATGGAACAGATCCTGAACGTTGTTAATTTCTAATTTGGTAGGCCCTTCTCCCTCTTTTCTGCCTGAAAAACTAATACTCATCTTCCAAGGTTCAAATCAAATGTGTGGAATCTTCCCTGACATCACTAAATTGAATTATTCATTCATTCCCTCTTTTGTAATCATAGTGTCAGTAAAACAGAAATCAAGTTGATAAATGATTTTTTTCCCCTATTGTTTCAAAATTTAATATTTACTGAACATCTCTTCATTATGTGCCAAGTATTAGCCTATAAATGTTTCATTGTGCAGAAAAGAGTTAAGATTGCATGCCTGAGACTGCTGTCCTTAGAAAGGCCCAACTGCAAGGTTGGCCCTTGGTTAGAGTCTGGGAATTTGGATTTTGGGAGATTCCCCATCATTCACAGAAGATAAGTGTGGTTCCCCGTGCCTAAACTATTTATATAAACACTATGGTTTATGCTGAATACCTGCTTTCCTTTTGAGAGTCTAGAATTTTGGTTTGTATCAGGGAAAGGGTACCTATGTGACCAGCTCCCAGTAAAAACCTTAGGCCCTGAGTCTCCAATTCTCCAATGAGGTTCCCTGGTAGACATTTCACAACTCATTGCTGGAGGAATTAAGCAAGTCCTGTGTGACTCCACTGCCAGAGAACCCATTGTACCTTTCCCTTTGCTAACCTTACTTTGTATTCTTTCAGTGCAATAAATCACAGCTACCAGTGACTATACACTGAGTTCTGAGTCCTCTTAGCAAATCACTGAAACTGGTGGTGGTCGTAGGGACTCCTGACACACCCATATAGTATTTCACCTAATTTGCACAACCTCCCTATGGGAGGTAGATATTATTATCCTTACTTCATAGATTAGGAAACTGAGGATCACAGAAATTAAAGTGACCTGGAAAAGGACACAGAAGGATAATGTCAGGATATGAACACCATTTTTTGATTCTAAATTTATCGCTTGTAAGTTCCCTGGGGGAAGAGAAACCAAAACTTGAACATTGAAGGTTCACAACAGATAGTAGCTTTCAAGTTAAATAGTCTAATAATTGTTTCAAGTTAATAAAATTTTCTGAGCTTTGGATTATCCAATCTTTAAAATTAAAAATATGGCATTATAGAGTATGGCAGGATGGGGGCAAGGATACATTATTAAAGGATAGTAAATTCTACACAGATTATTTCTCACTGTAAACCATTTTTGTGTGTTTTCTCTTTTTAATAGTTCCATAAGGCCCATATGTCATACTGTGGTGTTGGACATTCTCAATTTGAAGATCTTTATGCAGGAAGCCTTAAATACCTTTTAGTAAAATCTTTAAAGCAGAGTCGAAGTTTATTATGATGTCTGAAGAGCTTTGGGTCATTGGGAATTTCAGATAGGAAAACCTGGGCAACTTCTAGAGGCCCCTGTAAAATAAGAAAATAAAATAAGAAGTGTGTTTTTGTCTTCTCTAAAATCACAGAGACAGAATTTATCCAAATGATTTTTCTTACAACTGAGATACATACATATCTATGACTATATTAAAACTCTTCAGAGACAGACTGTTTTAATTTTTCCTAATTTCATATCTACATTCTTTCCAACTGCAATTAAATTAACTTCTTATTAGTTCATTCTTCAAAGAAACAGAATAGGCGATCAAGGACTGACTAGTGTTCAATAATGCAGTTTGTCTAGTATTTTTTATATTCTTTAATTTATCCTAGATGTAAATGTCAGGCTACTACATCTGCCAATCCATTGGTTATCAGACTTGATTTTGCTAAAACAGCTTCCCTCAGTAATCCAAAGATGTTCCTGATGCTGCAAGTTAAAGATGATAATGTTTTGTGAGTAAGCTACATCATTTGGAGGTAAAAACCTTAAAATCACGTATGTTTTGGAGGGTAAAGGTCTTAAGATATTTACATCAGTTTGGGCAGGGCATTTTTTAGCTTTGTTCCTTTAATCTAAAAACTAGTTAAGTCATATTATAGAAACTTTTTCTTGAAGCCTTTCTGGATTTTTCCCTTCCCATGGAATATTCCTTAAGATTGGGGCCATGCCCAAAATCATCAGCAAGAGAATTTGAATGAACCAACTACCAGGGGATAATGGAGATGGCTTCTGATCTGCATGTGGAAAAAGAACAATATCTTATATACATCTATTATTAAAAGTTTCAAAATGAGGCCGGGCACGGTGGCTCACACCTGTAATCCTAGCTCTCTGGGAGGCTGAGGCGGGCGGATTGCTCGAGGTCAGGAGTTCAAAACCAGCCTGAGCAAGAGCGAGACCCCGTCTCTACTATATATAGAAAGAAATTAATTGGCCAACTGATATATATATATATATAAAAAAAATTAGCTGGGCATGGTGGCACATGCCTGTAGTCCCAGCTACTCGGGAGGCTGAGGCAGTAGGATCGCTTGAGCCCAGGAGTTTGAGGTTGCTGTGAGCTAGGCTGACGCCATGGCACTCACTCTAGCCTGGACAACAAAGTGAGACTGTCTCAAAAAAAAAAAAAGAAAGTTTCAAAATGATTCCATATCACTTATTTAATCCTCACAACTTATTGTGAAGGATATCTGCAGAAGATAACACTAGGGAGAATCTAAGATAGTAGAGGTTCACAAATATGTACGTAGCTCTGAAAATGAATCCTTCTTTTTTAGATCATATTCCTTCTGTATAAGCTTATATTTATTTTTAATTTTTTTGAGACAGAGTCTCACTTTGTTGCCCAGGCTAGAGTGAGTGCTGTGGCGTCAGCCTAGCTCACGGCAACCTCAAACTCCTGGGCTCAAGCAATCTTTCTGCCTCAGCCTCCCAAGTAGCTGGGACTACAGGCATGTGCCACCATGCCCGGCTAATTTTTTCTCTATATATTAGTTGGCCAATTAATTTCTTTCTATTTATAGTAGAGACGGGTCTTGCTCTTGCTCAGGCTGGTTTCGAACTCCTGACCTCGAGCAATCCGCCTGCCTCGGCCTCCCAGAGTGCTAGGATTATAGGTGTGAGCCACCGTGCCTGGCCTCTGTATAAGCTTTTAAAGGAAAAGCTATTTTAAGTGAATCAATTCTTTCTTAATAAAATGCATATGGACACATAGGTAGAAAACCCTAGGCAGTAGAGAAGGCAGCTATAGAAACCTTAAGAACTGAGATTATTCTAAACTTTTGTTTTTCAATTTTCTTCCATTTATACTTTCAGTGTCTTTTGCAACCACTTCTATTTTTTTATTTTTTTTGAGACAGAGTCTCACTTTGTTGCCCAGGCTAGAGTGAGTGCCGTGGCGTCAGCCTGGCTCACAGCAACCTCAATCTCCGGGGCTCAGTGATCCTACTGCCTCAGCCTCCCGAGTAGCTGGGACTACAGGCATGCGCCACCATGCCCGGCTAATTTTTTGTATATATATTTTTTAGTTGGTCAATTAATTTATTTCTATTTTTGGTAGAGATGGGGTCTCGCTCAGGCTGGTTTCGAACTCCTAACCTTGAGCAATCCGCCCGCCTCGGCCTCCCAAAGTGCTAGGATTACAGGCGTGAGCCACCACGCCCGGCCCTGCAACCACTTCTAATACATATACTTTTCACTTGATTTAGCACTTATTTGTGATCTTTGTAAAATATAATAATGAAATTATTCCAAATTCTATTTAAAATTTTAATCACATAGTGCTAGCAAAAAGCACTAACCTGATTAACTGTTGTGCCTACAGATCCCTGGAGTACCATTTGAAGCATTTTGGGATCTGCTGGATCCTGATGTGTTGCAAATGCCAACTCCTGTGTCTTTTTCTGCATGTCTTCAATAGCAACTTCAATTGGTGTTAAGATGATCTGAATAAAACAGCATCTATTAGGTGAGTGTACTGATTGAAAACTATTTAATGAATTTTACATATAATCAATTAAAATTATGAAAAAAGTAGAGATTAATTGTAAACCTTCACGTAACAATGAAATCCCAGATTTGGATCCTTAAAAGAAAAAAAAAAATCAACCTTTTAAAGCATAACCTGAGAGTAAATTAGGAACTTAGAAGTCAAAAAATACTAGTTCAAAAGTGGGTAAAGTTCTAGTACGTTATGGTATAAGGGATGGTACATATCTTCTGCTACATCTAAATTGTTGTTACATGGTTTGCATGTATTTGTTTCACTAATTCTATTTCCCCATTTATAGACTTACCTCCTCTTTATGAGTGACATTGACCCTTGTTTTAATATAAGGAAAGGCATGAGAAGTAGTCAGAATGGTCTTCCTTTTGAATTGTTCATGAAGTTCCCCATGGGCACGACCATCTAAAGTGAAGGGTGTACAGTACATGAAACGTCGAAGATTATAATTTTTGTCGAAATATGTGATTCTGTCCTTCATCTCATATGTGTCAAAGTATGGCTCCACGTAGGTAATCTGAATATATGCCTGGGAAAGGAAAAAATTGTTTATTTCCTCACTGTTATCATTTAGTCTTTCTCAAACAAATAGCAAAGAGGTATATTTCAAAGATACACCTATATGTCATTACAGTCTAGTCAATCATACCTTGTTAGGATCCAATTTACACTTGTCTACAGGATTAGAGTCCTTGATTACTTCAACCACATCCTCTCCAAATCTTTCTCCATAAAATCCCTACAATAAAGAAAAAGAAATCTTTTACATGAAGTTAACAGGATTAGAAAATAGAGAAGGCCTTTGAGGGAGATTCCTGAGCAAAATTAGGGGATTTAGTAAATTCTGTATAACCATGTCAATAATTACAAAATAAGAATTATTTAGGCTTATAAAAATTATACTAGGTCATAAATTATCATGGTCTCAGTCCATATTTATTTGACATTATTCCCATCTATGCACTTTAACACAAAATATAAGAAAAGAGCAATTTTCTCCAGTAAAAACACAGGATGCCATAAAAGGTTATAAAGAGAAACAAAAGATAACAAAAAGATAAAAGAAACTCATTATCTTTGATGTATAGGATTTTACTTTTATTGAGTTTGATGTGGCCTAATTTCTTTTTTTTAATTTTTTTTTCCTTTTTATTTCATATTATGGGGGTACAAATATTGTTAAGGTTACATATATTGTCCTTGCCATCCCTCCCCCCTCCCTGCTGTGTCACAGCTTCAAGCCTGTCCATCTTCCAGGTGGTGTGGTGCGGGCAAAGATATAAAATGTAACCAAAATGTCAAAAAGCAAAACAAAAACAAACTTTTATCAGGTAGTAGGCAGGTGGGAGGGGGAGGGAGGGGGTGGCCTAATTTCTTAACAGACCATGGGTCAATGAATAAACATTTTTTTAATGCTTTTTTAACATTCCAGAATTTTCAAATAAAAGCATTGATCTGTTGAAGTTTTGTATAGGTTTAGATTTTGAAAAGGCAACCTTCGGTCAAGAATGTAGTGACTGAGATGCTTTGCATCTCTGCAGAAGAAATTTGTTTTAAACTGTTTAGATTTCTGGAAATACAGACTTTTAGAAGAAAAAGAAAAAACAAAACAAAAGAATGTAGTGACTATTTCATATGACATTGGGTAGCACCCTGGGCAATGGATGGAGCTATTCAAAAGGAAAAATCTAAATCTAAATCTTCAAAGGAGGCCTGGTACAGTGGCTCATGCCTGTAATCCTAGCACTCTGGTAGGCCAAGGCGGGAGGATTACATGAGCTCAGAAGTTCAAGACTAGCCCTAAGCAAGAGGAGACCCTATCTCTACTAAAAATAGAGAAATTAGCGGGTGTCATGGTATATGGTATACGCCTATAGTCCCAGATACTTGGGAGGCTGAGGCATTGCTTGAGAGGTTGCAGTGAGCTAAAATACCACCATTGCACTTTACCCATGGCAAAAGACAGAGCAAGACTGTCTCCAACAAAAAAAGAAAAGAAAAAAAAATCTTCAAAGGAGAAATTCCCACTCCTGCCCCTGCCCCAAAGACAGTTTTTATGATTAGCAAATATAGTCTCAATCAATATTTCCCAAGACTTTAGCCTCTTGAAAAATAAAAAGTCACAGCTTGAGCCAATTTATGAAAGTTGAGTCCGGCAAAGTTGCCAATAAGAATATAACACTCAAAAAATTGATAACATCAGCTAAGAATAAAAACAAACCTGGAGCACTACATCTCAAACTGTTATGTGAATACTAATCAACTGGGGATCTTGTTAAAATGCAGATTTTAATTCAAAAGTCTGGGGTGAGATCTGAGAATCTGCATTTCAAACAATCTCACAGGTGATGCCAATGGTTCTGGTCCTATGGACCATGCTTTCAGGAAAAAGAAGAAAGGCTGGAAAGAAAAACTATAACAGAAAAGACTGGTTAGCCTGACAAATAGGGAAATCAATCATTTATGGTGAAAATTAAGAAATTATAAAGGCCAAGGGAAGTGTTTTTAAGGTGTGATTTCAAGCTAAAGTTCTAAAGATATCTCACTATGAACCTGGTAAACCAAAAGAGATGATAATGTTTGTGTCAGAAATTTCTTGGGGTTCTAATTCTAGTTCCATTATTAGCTGCTAATTAATTCCTTGTGTCTTTTTCTAAAAATGTATATATAGTATATAGTATATAGAAATAGTATATATATTTCTCCTTAAATCACAGTAATTCTGAAGGATATATGGGTTTCTAAAATATGTTATGAAAATACAACCTCAAAAAATAGAGTTAAAAATATTATTTTACTGTTGCTATAGAAGTTTTGAAGGATTTTAAAGAGTATTATTGGAAGTAATCAAAAATCCTTATAATGAAAGGGAGTAGTTTATTGGGTAAGATCTGGCTTATCAAATGATTAGTTCTGGACCTGAGTCTAATCATCACAGAGAATACAAATTAAAGATGACATTTTATGAACTACCACAGCATTCACCTCCAATCTGTGAGATATCTCTGCAAGTTTGGTTATTGCAGGCTCCTTGTAAACAAATTCTTGTTCATCCAAATCCCCGAACTTGGTTCCATAAAAACCAACACGAAAATAGGTGCCAAACATCCGCTTACCATCCTAGGTTTAGGAAAATGAAGAAACTTTAATATAAAGTCTTTTTTTCACGTTATGCTTAGATTGCTATAGTATAAAATTTCTAAAGTATTGCAAAAAGTTTTAATTCAGAATTATAATATTTTATTATTTTTCAAATAAAGGGAAAACAAAATAAATAGTCTTTTTTCATTATTTCTAACAAACAATATTATGCAATTAGGGCCTTTACCAAGTGATTAAATCACATATGATATATATGTTTCAGAGTTTATACCAAGTGACTATATCACATTGGTTTATGCTTTTTAAGTCTATACAATTGAGATAAATTAACTTATTTTTCTTAATGCAAGAAAAGATGCTTGGTATAACATGAACTGTGTCCTAATTGTGCTGATATTAGAGCATATTAGCTAAAGTTAAATTTATAAGCAACATTAACATTTTAAAATTAGTATTAGCGTTTATATAAGTTCTTTACAAATATTAAATAAGATCATAAAAGTCAAGTATAGCATCTGGTATAGAACAGACAATCATAAATGTCAAGACCCTCCAGAAGCATTAAAGCGAAAAATCTATATTTAATATCCCTGTGCCAATACAAATATTTATATATGGAAAAGTAACTAAAAATGGAACAGTAAAGGAAAAACTTTATGAATGAAACATAATAAGAAAAAAAATTTTCAGATGAGTTGGTTATTCTAAAGCTCCCAAACCACCTGCTGCGTATATTAACCATATTTGTGTTAGGTACAAAGTACACTAGTGTCACCTTAACTCTCACACAGTACACGTGAAGGCAAATTCTTTCAACAAAGATAAATATTTAGAAGCTTTCTATGCAATTTTTACAATTTAGGTACAAAACTATTCCAGAAGGATTTTGTGGTAGCTCTTATATATACAACTACACATAAGTATTTAAATACCTGTGAATTCTCTTTAAGCCTAATCTGCTTTATATTTATTTTTCCTATATTGAAAAAGCAAAAGAATATATAAAATAAGCTAGAAATGTTACAGATAATTAAGCAAAATTAGAAACTCTGATCCTTAATTTACTAGTTTTACAATATCAAAAAAAAATAAGTATAGTGACTAAAAATATCCACACATTTTTATTTAAAAGAAGCAAGGTTTAAAGAAAAATGTCTTTGGAGCTAAAGAAACTTGAGGTTTCTAATTTTAAAACATTTTTTCACAGTTACTTTATTTCAAAATCTAACAGACATAAAAATTAATTGATTTCTATAGCAAATGAATCTCTCTTGAAGGATTAAATGAATTCAATCAAAATTTTGATTAAAACCATCAGTAAGCCAATGGAACAATATAATAATATATAATAATAGTAAATTTTGACACAATCAAGGAATGAAGGCACTGCATGGAAAATAAAAAAAGGCATCTATATAAATTACTTAAAAATTTGTGATTGCTATTTTTCATAATGCCATACATATATATTCCTACTTTTTAAAACCATAAATATTAAAATACTGTTATTGTGGTTGTATTCCTCTCAGAATACAACAGTTTAAAACAATATTCCAATTCTTCAATATTGTGGCTCTTTAAATATTTGAAGACAGCAATTAGGACCTGTTTCCCTTAGCTAAACACTCCAATTCTCAATTAACCTTCATATGACAGGAATCCCTACCTTCTTTGCATTTTATTTGTTTTTCAACGCCATCTTTTAAAGTGTGATATCCCTGAAACAGACACAATACTGCTGATGTGATCTGACCAGATACTGCTGATCTGATCAGTGGGCTAACTGCCTCCTTGGATCTAGACACTGAATTTTATTGATGCAGCTTAGAACTAAACTACCTCTTTTTACAAATTTTCTCATATTAACATTCAGTTGAAGGAATAAAATTATTGAGTGTTTATTGTGGTAGCCACTGTTCATCTTCAGTAGTAGAAAAATAAAAATAAATAAGACTTGCTTTTCAAGAGAATAAAAAAAATATTCAAATAACTATAGTACAAAGGGATATATGCTATAATAAAAGCCATATAAGAAAGAAAGGATCAATCCTGTTGGAACCAAGTCACAACAGAGGTAACACATTGACAGGGTTCTATGACTCAAAAGAATTGGCCAAGTAGATGGGAGGAGGGAAGGAAGTGACATTCAAATAGAGAGGGAGAAAAAAAAAAAGGCAGATATAAAGTCATAAAGTAGAATGTAGGTGAGGGAAACTATTCATTTATCTATTCAAATATTTACTGAGTGTCTACTATGTGTCAGAAAACAGTCTTAGACATTTGTGATAAATCAGTGAACAAAAGGGACAAAGAAGGTGGTCAAGGTAGGTTTCATCAAGAAGCTGACAAAGGATCAAAGACTAAAAGGGATTATTCATGCTGATCTGTGGAGGAAGTGCATTCTAAGCAGAGGAAAGAGCCCCTGCAGCTGCCCTAAGGCAAGAGGAACAGGAAGGTAAAAGGTATGGCAGAACAGGAGGAGATATGCTTAGAGAAGTAACTACTGGGAGTTACTGGAATTTAAAATGAATGTGTCGTCCTACAGTTGGGGAGGGAGCAGCAGGGGATAGATATGGATGGAGAGGAAGAAAGGCTAAGCAATTGAGTGACTTTATCTTCAACTTATTAATAGAAAGAGTCCACCAGCCACTATCCAGTTCAGGAACGCATGATCATATTGCTTCACCTTCAGGAAAAACATCACTTCATCTTTAATTCCTCTTCAGAGTTTTGGACCACAGGACTCGACGCTTGTTTTTCTTTTAAATTAAAAACAAAAACACTACTTCCCCATAATCTGGACTGTTTTTCTAACACTAGCCTCCTTTACTGTTATGAATTCTTTTAAAATTTTCCATCACTCCTGCACTACAGCTTACTCTTTCTGAGCAGTTCTCTTACTGCTTCCACAATCTTCCAGGTAATGAAACTATGTCCCAAAGAAATCCATCTACCATGTCTCTAAATGATTGAAGTCTCTTATGACAAATATATCTTAAATCTGTTTTAGTTTTGTTATCTTTATTTAGCAAGAAACATTCTGTTGGGCTAGCTGTATATTTCCATAATGACATCACTTTTTATAAAATCCTTTATCTTCACCCAGTTGTTTCCCACTATGCTTCCTTGAAGGTAACAGATTTCCATATAGGTATATGAGTATACACACGGTGGCAATCTCTCTTTCCTTCTATTAGATTTATCTTTTTTCTTTTTGAGACAGAGTCTCACTTTGTTCCCTGGGCTAGAATGCCATGGTGTCAGCCTAGTTCATAGCAACCTCAAACTCATGGGCTCAAACAATCCTTCTGCCTCAGCCTCCCAAGTAGCTGGGACTACAAGCATGCACCACCATGCCCGGCTAATTTTTTCTATATATTTTAATTAATTTCTTTCTATTTTTAGTAGAGACACGGTCTCGCTCTTGCTCAGGCTGGTCTCGAACTCCTGAGCTCAAATGATCCACCCGCCTCGGCCTTCCAGAGTGCTAGGATTACAGGTGTGAGCCACCGCACCTGGCCTAGACTTATCTTTCTTAAACAGCATTTATCGGTTCATTCCAGTTACAGATCTCAACTTGGGAACAAGTTAATTTTATTAACAAAATTGTGTTAAGATTTCAAATAATAGTAATGATAATACTAATGATAAAAATCATGGTAACAACAAAAAAAATGACCAACATTTTTCGAGTACTTAATACGTGTTAGACACTGGCTAACCACTTTACATGTACTACATCAATTCTTATCACAACTCTATGAGAAAGGTGCACTTATTTTCACCCTCATTTTATGAGGAAAAGTAACTTGCTCAAGGTCACATTGTTAATAGGTGGTGGAGCTGTGAGTTAAACCCCTATATACTTGACATCAGAGTCTAAGCTCTTAAATGACCTGTATGTTCCCTATACTTTACATACTTGCATAAACATTAGTATGACTAGGACATTAGTATGATCCCTGAACTGTCTTCCACTTCTCTGATGCTTTCATTGAGAATTTTTGTGTATTTCTTTGTGTAATTCTTTTGAGAATTACCTCCCTCCCTGTTTTGTCTTCCTCTATATGATAGCACAGACCTCTACTGTAATTGTTTTTGCATATCCTTCCTGTACACTCCACTATAAAAATCAGGTTGGTGGTTTACCTACCAAACATAATCTTCTAAGATATATCTTAGTCCATTTCTTATCAGAAGTTCAATTCTGACCATTATATGTCCCCATCCAGAAAAAAGAAATTATGTCTAATTTCATTTACATAGTAAACATTCGCTGTCCATATCTTTCTTTTTCTCTTCAAAAGTAGCATAAGGGGCAGAAAAAAAATCAGTGGTGTGGTATCTCTCTTTAGGTGCTCAGTTATGGGTCTATACCAACCATCAGGAAGTCATCAACTTCTAGAAAGCATCTCCTCCTACAGACAGTAAGTTTTTTCCCATCTATTGTGTTTTCCTTAACTTTCTTCACATCTAATTCCACCTTCCTGAGTAAAGACTCATGTACTTTATACGTACAATGTTCTAATTTGTTTTTTAGAGTATCACATTTTTCCACTCAATTACCTGAGTACTTATTTTGAGTATGCTCTACCCTCCTGAATTTTTATTTCATTTCCTTCTTTCAGAGTTTATTCTCTCCTCACCATCCTCACTATAATTTGCTGTTTCTAATTCAGCTCTACCTTTTATTTGCTTGGATGAGTGACTTCATCTCATTCACTCAGCTTTAGTGTGGATTAAAGAATATAAAAATTCAACAAAAGCCAATGAGCCAGAACTATAGCCAGTATTTCTGAGCATAGAAAAACTAGAATACTGGCTCATATTCATGTCCATCCAGTCCAATAAGAGGTAAGATATATTGACATGTGTCAATCCCAAAAGTTAGAGTAACCTACATTTCCTCACTGAGCTAGTAGAGAGAATTTAGCTTAACAAAGCTAAGCCCTTCTTCTCTAGACTTTCTGGAAACTTTAAGATACACCTACTAGGGTAGTAGTAATTTCTTTAAAGAAATATCTTGTAATCTTTAAGAAAAGAAAGTAGAAAGTGTCATGTGACTATGTTATCAGTGTTTGCAGATTGATTTTTCGGAAGAATCTTAACTTGTAATAGTATACTTCTGAAAACAAATTGATCACTACTTAATAAATGGACAAATAAAAACATATACACATAAAATACAAAATGGTTATATAAATTTTCATGTAGAAATTTAACATTTGTCTTTCTTTTAAAAATAAAAATGCATCATAAGAAAGAAATAATTGAAATACTTTATTTCCTATTATTTTAAGGAATTGAAATTGGCAGAGGAGGTAACAGCCACATAATTCCTAAAGGGTTCATGATTTATTTTGCATGGTAAAACCTCCCAATTTGCTAAATATTAAGTTTTAGAGTTATCTTTTACACACATACACACACACACAAACATTCTCTTTCTCACACACACACCCTTGTACCCAAAAGCTTTGCCAACTCAATTTATTTGCAAGGGGCATAATAAAAAGTGAAATGTATTACTAATATACAAACTCAGAAGGGCTATTCCTATAAGTTGAGGAGTAAGTTATCAATTCAAAGAGCCTTTCTAAAATGTATAAATTATTCCTACTGGATTTCAATCCAGTAAGAGTTCTATGAGAATACTAGGAAATTAGCCAGGAAACATAGTTTTTAGAAAAAATAAAATCACTGAAGTTTTCACAGTCAAAAAGAAAAATCACAAGATAGAACTTACCACAATAGACAATAGTAAAAGTAGGGAGGAGGGTCAGCAACCAGGGGCAAGAGAGAAGAGAAAACAGAAAGCATTTTAATTACAGAAATTTCAAAACAAATAAGCAGCAAATGGTAGCAAACACATTTTTAAAATGCAAGCATCCATTTAAGTTTTACAAGGGAAAAGCAAAAAACAAACGTGCAACAAATTTAGCAGCTACAAAGCTAAAGGTCCAGTAAAAGGTAGTGATAAGAATATAAACAAAAAGTCTGTGCAATTTTACCATGCAATAAACATGACAGAATGATATTAATGTCATAACCAGTGAAAATTATACCTTTCAGGGGTCGATTTAGCATCAAGGAGACTAGTAATAAACTGCTCAGAGGTTTCAATATATCCTTTTATGCCTAATTTCCAGCTAATTCTATTTCATGTGAGAAAATCCAGAAGAAACTTTATCACTTATATATAACCATGGCAAGTCTCTTTACGTATGTCTTAACTGAGCCATGGAATTATTTTAAATAAAATGAGGAATTATTTTATTTTAAATAAAATGAGAAATTATTTTTTAGGTATTAATAAGGTCACACATTTAATCTTGAGAATTAAGGTAGATCTGAAAGTATTGGCTTCACCTGAAGAAAAGCAAAAGGTGGGTACTATTTCAGAAATGGAAGAAAACTCAGTAGTAACATTTATTCCTAAGGTTTTCTATTTGGGTTTCAAAACAAGGATTGCAATGCAAAACCAAACAGAGAAACCTAAGCTGTTTAACCAATATAAATCTAACCATGAAGTGAGAGGCAAAGCATACAACTTTACAACTACACCCAGCTTTAAATAAATTTGATTTATTACTACCGTGCTTTACCTCATCAAAAAAAATTAGGGCCTATTTTATAGAATTCTTTCCTTTACAGAAAGATTTAAAATAACGGTCATCAATTCTTCCTGGCATTTTTTCAGGTAAGATTTGATTTACATATAACTTTTCACGAGCCTAATTACTACATAAAAAGACGCACATGTAGTCTTATTAAACATTAATGCATCAAACACTGTCAGAATACAAGGTCAAATTAAATTTCAAGTTCTCTCAATCTCTTTATCCTTCCCCCCAGTACCAATTTAAATGGCAAAAGCGAATTTCTTTCCTCAGTACTGCTTACAGTCAAGGTGAAGAGCCCCAAAATCAAATTAACACAGTATCTCATCAGTTCTATGATGCACATTTTTTGCTCACATTTTTTAATATTTCTGTAGTTGGTATTCATCTTTCAACTGACAGGATGTCCTGGTTTAATACATAGGCTTTTTTTGTTTTCTTAAACACACATAAAATAATAGTATGTTTTATAATTGATATGTCTTACATCAGATGAAATAAAGTATTTTCTATTTATACCTCTGAGCAATAACACATAAATCGACCTCTGTAAAATGAGGTGAAACAATATGGTTAAAAAAAAGAAGTCTGTGTGTAAATGTTGATGAAAGAAATGCTTTAAGGAATAAAAACAAACTAAAGTGATGACAAGGTGGCTCATTTACCAAAGAATCTCATTAGTGTAACATATGGATTTCCATGCACTGCCTACAACCTCTTAATAATAAATTTCTTAAAATAACTTACAGTATTTTAACAAAATTTCTTTGGTTAATGAATTCAGTTGATAGCAGATAGCAACAGAATGCCCACAGCTAGCACATGTGGGCAAAGCATTGGCATAAGAAATCTGATCAAATCAATCTATTAGTGTCTTTAACTAACTAAAACATTACCTACCTCCCAGCCAGTACTCTGTATAATAAAAAGTAAAAAAGGGCAAGTCATAAAAAAACTGTTTAAAAAGAACAAAAAAAGGCCAAAGGAAGTTCAGTAGTGTAAGGCATCATATACCATAATTTCTTCCCCATGAATAGAAGACAAAAGGATATTTTAAACAGCATATTCCTTCACTTAAGACCTACAATAATTTTATAAATTGCTTGTTCAAAACCCAGCAGCTAAAATTTTGCCTTTGAAAAGCTTTAATAAGTGAAAGTACAAATTTTTGGGAAAGAGAGCCAGTTGCTTGTTCCATTTATGTGTTTAGATTAGATCACTAAAGTATGCTGCACTTCACTGAAGTATCCAGGATAAACTGGAGTACAAATTGCAATTTTGCTCAAATACAACTTACATAAATAGATCAAAGTTTCTTGGAAACACTAGCTCTGGATGTTCCAGACCTGACATGCATAATTTATAATTTATAGCTCTCGAAGCTGGGATAAGGTTTCTTTGATAGTATATATACAACAGATCATAAAAAGACCCACCTGTTATGATCATTAAACCTAATCAATCTTTTGCAGCTTTAACATTTTAGTAGATGACATTAAAATCCTGACTCAACAGAATAATAGCAGGCCTATTTTAAGACTGTTAACAATTTTTCAGATCATATCAATTCATCTAGAACAGTTTGGCTCATGGCAAGAAAGAGGTCAGGCTGATAGAGAATAAAGTAGGACTAGTACTGCACATAAAAGTGGATAATCAACACTCCACCTCCTTCTTAGACAGTGGCAGCAGCAGATAATAGCAGGGTAGCATCGGAAAGGGAACAGAAAAGTAGAGAAGAAGGAGGCTCAATAGGATATTTCAGGGTATTTTAATGGAGCCAAGGGTTTAGTTTCAAGGAAATCAATTGCTAGTAGTCTAATTAACTTTAAACTTAGTTTAACTAGATTTTAATTTTGGTGATTATATGTGGTTTCCATAACAAACTATAAAGAAATACTGAAATCATACTATTTTAATTAAACATATGTAAGACAACCATTTTACTTATTTTCAATAAATATTATTTTCATATTGGAAATATATCAAAGGATGATAGAATTTAAACATCTAAGAAAAACAAAGTTTGGCTGCAGTCATTAAAAATATTAATCAGAGTTTCACATCATTTAGTAAAAAACTTTTTTTGGCAGCAAAGGAATAGATATCAATTTTAAAAATCAGATTCATAATTATAACCTATATGTGAAACAGAAAATAAAATGCAATTTTAAAAATCTGTTTACTAGTAACAATTCAAAAAAATGAAGAAAAAAGCTATGAGGAAAGCTTATGATCATCATTATTTACTTCAGACAGATTCATTTTTTGTTAATAAGCCTTGCTTTGGCCATGAACATCATTTTGACTACTCATTTGTAACCTGAGCAAAATGGTCATTTCATGGGATCTAGTTTGACATCAGTACAAAACAACATTTAATGTTTGTAGACAGTTTTCTTTATTTATACTGAAGCTAGAAATTGGAATCATTACCTGATGAACAATTTTGCTGAATGCTTCTTGAAGTTTACCATGAATTGTGGATAGTTTCTTTGCATCCCGATTAGCTTCATGAATAGGAATGAGTACTTTGTAAACCTCATTAACTGCTTCATACATGCCAGCCTAAAAGAATAATGTTTATAAAATATTGCTTTCTTTTCTTTTACATCAGTAAGAAAGTAGAATAATTACAATGTATGAATTTACAATATTTCTATTAAGACAACACCACTGAAGCTTTTCCAATAGGACATAAAAAATAAACAATACTAATTTTTAAGTGTACTAAAGCTTAATAAAAGAATTTTATATAATGTATCATCTGTGGATAAATGGATATGTAGGTAGGTATGTCTGTGTGTATATTAGTAAAATAAAAGCATATTTATATTTCTATATAATTTGAATTGGGCATTCTGTCTCTACTGAATAATTACTTAACTAAGGTAAATGTGTGTGTGTATACTATTTTATGCAAATACACTTTTGCAGACTTAATATTTTGGAGAAATAAATGATTTTAGTTTCCCAGGAGGCCACAGGTTCTCTAATTATAAGAGACTTTGATATCTGTGACCAGTATAATATGGAATCTCTTTTATTCCTCTGCTCAGAATTAGTTTCTGCAAAAGAATGTAGTTTATAAAGCTCCTGAAAAGTAAGCCCCAGGCCTCCAATACCTCCCTAATAAGGATCACTATGTGACCGACAGGATAAGTAGCCGTAACATTTCTGGACGCCAAGGCAATGCCCAACATACTAGAAAGAAGATTCTCCTCTTTATCTAATAGATAAGCTCTATTTACAGAACCATGTTAGTCTACGCAAGAACTTAAATCACTAGAGACTTTGTTTATTTTGTTCTGTTTTTAAATTCAAAACTTTCAGAAAATGTGTAGTGGTAAAAGTTTTGTGAAAAAATATCTACTGCAGATTACATGCTGGTTCATAAACAAGCAAATGAAAAACACTTAGGGAAGTGATAGATAATAAAGATTAAAAGGATAATGAATCTTGAAAGAAAATCTGTTCTTAGATAATTTCTCAGGGACTTAGAATAAACTATGTTAAAAGTAAAGTAGGGTTATAAGGCAGACAGATGTCACTGATAATTCAGAGGTATGAAACTGTGGGAAAAGAATGAACAAGAGTCATTTACCATAGAGAAAGAAGCAGCTGCTTGTTCCAGTAATCCCACAAGTCCTGACTCAGTAAAGTACTTTCCAGAGCAGATACCTTCTTCATCTGGAGATACTACGTCATCTGAGACTGCAGATTCTTCTAAAACATTAGATGAAATATTCTAGGAGTAGAAAATAGTGAAAAGACTTGTAAAATGAACTAATTTCCTAGCATGAAAAATGTATAAGAAGAAATAATTGAGGATGAAATATAACTATCATATCAGCTTAGGTTAAAAAAAGAAGAGTTGATATAAAGGTAAAAGATAAATCTCCAAAAACTTTCTATATTTTAAAAATGATAATAAAATAGAAACATAATTGTTAGATAACCTTTCCCTAATAAAAAGTTGTAAGAAAGAAAATTAAGAAAAATCATGGGCTATAGAAAATAGTGATAAGACATAAGATATCTAAGGAGACTTAAAACGGTCTCTTAGCTTATCTAATATATATTCAGTTAATGAAAAACTCAGGTATGATAAAAGCCCTCTTATCCAATGAGATTGGAAGCAATCATTATTTCTAAAAAAGGAATCATACATATATACCTTATTTTATTATTTTGACCCAACATTTATAGTACATGTACACTCATTTATCAACTTTTTGAAATAGGTCTAAGCCCTTTTTGTATGGGTCTCCAGATCAGAGTTCCATATAATCTCTCTTGAGTAAATACACATGCAAAGAATTCAACTCGTGAGTCAGAGGCATGTACGACTATTAGTGGGTAAACTCATCTGTGAGTCACAGTATTAGTACACTTTATACAGGAAATGGAGAATGTTGGTTTATCTGGTGTGTTAAGTAAAAGCCAATAAAGAGTTCCTATTGAATTCTTTTTTTTCTTATTTTTTCTAAAGTTCAGATCAACTCCATCCTATTGAATTCTTATTCTCAGTATTTTGACTATAATACATTTTCATAGTTGCTAAAGTCTATAACTGATTACAAAGCAGTAAAGGCAAAAAGAATAAATATATAATACATAGCACCAATAATTCAAAGGTTAAGAAACTGTGGAAAGAGAATTTACAAGAAATAGTCTTTAAAAATGTATTAATGACAATGACAGTGAAATGTTAATTCACCTTCGGTAGCTTTGGCTTAAGTCATTAAGCTTTCTTTACAAACTGAAAGAATCTAAACACCAGTGAGAAAAAGCTAAAATCTGAGAAGGACATACCTTGATATAATGTACAGATTCCTACCTGAAATGTTACACATCCTACAGGAAGATATTTCCTGTCTTCCAGCATGCTCAAATATTCAGCAACAAGTGCTGCTGAGTGGACTAGACATTGCGCAGCTTCAGCATGGTTGCTTCGCTCTGAGTGTTTGCCAGCCATGTTCTGTAACCAGGTCAATCGCAGATCTGGAGAGGTCTGGTAACCTTTGGCAATTCTAAGTAGGAAAGAAATTCTCCATTCACATATGGTTCCCAAGTTGGGAGGGAGTTTAGATAGCTTGTTTATAGTTTACCTAGACAGGTTTCTATTACTGCACACACGGATTAAGTTTTTAAGTGGTATGAAAATGTGTATGCTTAGAGAAATAACTATGACCTATGGATGGAGAATATCAGTTGTGGGTTCGGGGCAAAAAGAGACTTACCATATTAAAATCTGGCCACTAAGAAAACAATCAGTAAGTGAAAAAGTATGGGAGTTTATGTGTTCATTATGGAAACATAGGTTAAGTTTTATACTTAAGGAAAAAAAAAAGGCCGGGCATGGTGGCTCACATCTGTAATCCTAGCTCTCTGGGAGGCCGAGGTGGGCGGATTGCTTGAGGTCAGGAGTTTGAAACTACCCTGGGCAACAGCGAGACCCCGTCTCTACTATAAATAGAAAGAAATTAATTGGCCAACTAATAGATATAGAAAAAAAAATTAGCCGGGCATGGTGGCGCATGCCTGTAGTCCCAGCTACTCGGGAGGCTGAGGCAGGAGGATCGCTTGAGCCTAGGAGTTTGAGGTTGCTGTGAGCTAGGATGACGCCACGGCACTCACTCTAGCCTGGGCAACAAAGTGAGACTCTGTCTCAAAAAAAAAAAAAAAAAAAAAAATGAAGAGATATAAAAGGTAGTTTCATCACATCATCTTTATTTCAAAGAGAATAAAATTATTTTACTTATACCTTTAATGAACCCCAAAATTGTGAAGAGAGAGGGTCATATGGCAAAGAAAACTTCTTAAGTTTTACTATTGTATCAATTAAGGTACAAAAGGAATCACAGATTTTTCAAAATGTAGCCCTATAAATATTATTCTTTAGGCATAACTATATTGAAAATCAGGCAATTAATGTTATGGTAAAACATGCATATACTGTATTTTCTTCTTAAAAGACTGATTCTTACACTAAAAATATGGGTCTTGGGTCTTCCTAGGAAGTCTGGGGCCCAGGACACCAAGGTATTACATATGTTATGAATATTTTTTTAAATCCTCTTGTTTTTGATAATCAATAAATATACTTTCATAGTTCTTAAGAGATATGACATAGAAGATCTGAAAAAGCAGCCTGGAAAAAGTGCATTTTAACTCTTCAGTCTACCATTAGAGAAATCACTAAATAATTTTTGCATATTTGTTTTTTTCAGCTAATGTTTTACTAAGCCCTTGTATAAAGTATAAGTGAATCAAACAAATGCTACCTGTACATTAGATCAATCAACATTTCAGGATCTTCCTGGTGTTCCTTCATTTTAACAGTATCAGAAAGGATCATATGGAGATTGAAAACCAGATCTTGTACCTGCAGCAGAGAATTATATGAAAAACATTCTTGAATTGTCATTCATTCACAACCACTAAATCAATTTGGGAGATATTTCAGATAAACACCTGAAGATTTCAAAACAAATTATACAATACTGATGTAGTTCTACAGAGTGTATATATGCTGAAGTAATTGGTAAGTGAAGGGTAGTGAACCTTATATAAATTCCTCAGCAAACTATGTTTTTACAGTTCTTTCACCTGGAAACAAGTACAACTATTGTTAGAAATAAAATATAGGGATATAGGAAATACAAGAGAACAGAAGGAAATTCCTCTCCTATGTTTCTGATTTTACTAAAAGGCAGTTGGTAGAAACTAGTTTTTTAAGGCAAATTACTGTTCGATTAGTGAGAATTATGTTTCATCATAAAACTTTGTCTATATTGACTAAGTTCACTGTTCTACTTGTTCCAAATACACAGAATTAAACACCAAAGATATTAACTATTCCAAAAAAGGGTAGCTTAATAAAAAAAATGACTTAGTCATATCTATGGCAATGATATATAGATTGAAAGAGAAATAAAGGATCCTCCAGCAAAAACCAACATCTGATTTAACAATCTGGAAAGTGCCTATTTAATAAGTCTATTCAATTAAAGATTTAGAAAGCAGCATTTCTGACCTGATCAGGAAATGTTGTTTCCCTCAATTCCAGATCTTCTTCAGCATATGTCAATATAGTCTTTAGAGAACGTCTCAAGAATTCTTCATTAAAATTTTGAGATGTGCCCACCAATGAGGATAGTGACATTGTTACCTGCATTTTAACTCTGGCAAAGTTCTATAACAGAGAAATTGTCAGGTCAATATTTAATACAGGAAAGCTTAAATGAAAAAGTCTGCTTTTTTTCTTGCTAAAAGAAAATACTTAGTGAGAAAGTACCATTCTAAGCAAAAATTTTTCAAAAAAGTAATGAAATATGCATATTGAAATCTTATTTTAGAAACCACATAAAACTTAGAACTTTGCTGTGAATAATATGCTTCAAAAAGGATTAAAAAGCCATGTGTTAGAACTGCATCAGAAATTGTCAGAGCTGGGTGTGGTGGCTCATGCCTGTATTGCCAGAGACTTGGGAGGCTTAGGCAGGATGAATGCTTGAGGTCAGGAGTTTGAGACCAGCTTGGGCAACATACTGAAACCTCATTTCTAAAAAAAGATATAATAATAATAAGAAAAATTAGCCAGGCATGATGGCACACACCTATACTCAGGAGGCTGAGGCAAGAGGATCACTTGAGCTCAGGAAGTAATTCAACATTTATTTTGTGTTTTAGAGTAATGCCTTTAAGAGTTTATAACTTACATTCTTCCTTTTTTAGTGTAAATTAATTTCTGCTCCACCATTCCCCACTATGAAACCACTCTTAATATTTTACTTGACATCTTTGTATATTTAAATGTATTTGTTACTTTCTCCCTGAAAATCTCTTGCCTCATCTTCAGTGGCACCACTTTATCCTGGTTTTCCTATTATTTATCCACTACTTTCCTGTCTTCTTTATTCCTTGATTGTATTTCTTAAATACCAGTATTCCCAAAGATTCAGTAAAAAAATCTTCATTTCTCATTTGATATACTCTAAAGAGCTACATCCATGCCTTTGCCTTCAACTAGTATACATACATGTTTTCCTTTAGCTCATATTTCTCTCTAGAACTCCAAACTATTTTATTTTACTAGATAGCTCCATCTGAATGTCCAATGGGTATCTCAAAGTCAACATGTCTAAAATACCTTCTCTTCCAACTGATTATCTAAATAAGTGGTGCTACTGTTCTTACAGTCACTTAGGTAAAAAACTTTAGGGATCGCCCTGATTCTCCCTTCTCATTATTCATACCATAAATCTAATCCACACCATGCCCTAATCTGTTCCAGTCTGTCCTTTCTCCATTCCCCACGCCAGTGCTTTAGTTTATATCCTCACCATTTCTTACTTGGATTACTATAATAACTTCCTAATCAATTTCCATGCCTTTTTCTCTTATCTACCACCCCTCTTATCTTCTACATAGTACCAGGGAAACTTTTATAAAATGCAAATTTGAACATATCACTCCTTTCTTTAAAAATACTCCAGAAACTCCCCATAGCTTTGAGGATAAAATTCAAGCATTCAACTCAGTAAATATATCAAACTATATATAATAGTAGGCCTTGCGAGTACAGAGATAAAGTGTCTGCCTATGACAGCTTACTCTAGACCTTTTCATTTACAACTTTATCCCTTACTACTCTCTCTTCCAGCCATATCCATCAATAAGTGCTTAAAAAGTGTTTCTGTGTTTGCCTATTTCCTTCTCTTATCTCCATGCCTTTCTAATTATACATGCCCCATTGTCTTTACCTAAAAAGCTCTATCCATGTATCCATCTGATTGGGTAATTCTTCAGGTCAAGCATCTCTTCTTTCTGAAAATTTATCCCTGAATCATAAGCTATTTTTCTATGTACTGACCTCTATGTACAGGGTACTAGTACCCTGGCTTATCTTTCAATATAGTAACAACAGCAAGCACTTACTCAGCACTCGCTCAGTGCTACTTACTACTATAAGCATTTTACTTAATTTATAAAATTCTCATAAAATGATCCGAAATAGGTTCATCCATTATTAGATGAATAATACTTGCTTTATCTTCTCTGACTAGATGCCAAGTTGCCCAATGCCTACCACAGTACCTAGGACACCATTTTATACGTTATTATACTGTACAATGTATAGATTTGATATTGTATCTGTTGAATACACACACCATATATATCACTTCCAGTTTTAAATTACCTATTCTTTTTTAGAGGCGCTGATATGAATTTTATTATTTGTAGTATTATTTTTAAGAAATGGGGTTACATATATTGTCCAGGCCAGATATGAACTTCTGGGCTCAAGCAATCCTCCTGCCTCAGCCTCCTGAGTAGCTAGGACTACAGGCACATGCCACTGCACTCTGCTACTAATATTAAAAATTGCTTTTTCTTCTCTACGATATAAAGCTTTTCTGAAATACTGGAAAAATGTATCAAGAAAATTGAGTGTGGTCAAATTTTAGGAACTTTATTTCAAAACTGAACAAGATCAATAAAGTAACTAGATTCTTCTGTTCTGGACTAAGAAAGAGGCAATGGTAAGGAATCCTAGGGCACAGATTTCAGAACTAATGGAAAAAAAGAAATTCCTTTAAATAAGAAACTCACCTTAAAATGATGAAACTATTTGTCTTGAAAACAACATGGGTTGAAAAATCTGCTAAAACTAGACAGAAATGGATTAACCAGAAAGCTGAGGCACTCAGGCAAGATATGTGTGTAATAGCAAAATCCCAGCAAAAACATATGAAAAGAAAATGATAGGTAAAAAGTAAAAAATATCCAACATATATGCAATGATACCTGGTAAAGAAACCCCAAAGACTGGAAAAGACAAAAAATTAATTTTATACGCAAAAAAACTTTCTGAAATAAATGAACTGAAAGTATACATCATGCACTTGAGAAAATTAACAAAAATTCATCAATACCAAGACATATCCTAGGAAAGGAATTTAATTTTAAATATAAAGAAAGAATTTCATAAATAGGGGAAGAAATATCATTTTTTATCTTCAGATATCTCTACAATGATATATATATATATATATATATATATTTTTTTTTTTTTTTTTTTTGAGACAGGGTCTTTCTTGCTCTGTTGCCTAGGCTGGAGTGCAGTGGCATGATCACTGAAGCCTTGAACTACTGGGCTGAAGTGATCCTTCTGCCTTCTCCTCCAGAGTAGCTGAGGCTACAGATGAAAGCCACCATGCCCAACTAAGTTTTTTATTTTCTGCAGAAATGAGATCTATATTGCCCAGGCTGGTCTCAAATTCCTGGCCTCAAGCGATCCTTCCATCTCAGCCTCTCAAAATGCTGGGACTACCGGTGTGAGCCACTGCCACCAGCCTAACAACATTTAATGCCAGAAGACAATCGTACTCAAGTATCGTTATTTTTCCCCTATTAAGTGTTCTTTATCTGACAAATTTTGCTGATCTTTCTTATACTTTCATTATTCAAAGTGAGGCAAAAATTTCACAACTACTTCTGCTGTCCTACAAATATAGACTACTTTGAACAAACAAGCACTTGAGAATATTATTCCCATGAACTTTTATGAGGACAATATTTAGCTGAACAAGAGATGATTAAAGCAAAAATTCTGGTGGTAATAAACAATATTTCATTTTACAACTAAGAACTAAGACTAAAATGTTACAGCTAAGAAAAAACTGGGAGAGTGAGAAGGAGGATGGAAAGAAGTACTTCAATCATCATATCTGCAATAGATATAAATCAAACAATATTTGAAGCTGACAAATCAAGTGAAGTACAGGCAGATTCAACAATACAAATGTAATTAATTAGAAAGATATTTTCCTGGCTACGAAATGAATTACAAAAAAAAGAAAAGAAAAAGAAGAAGAAGATACTTTATTGAAATACTGAGGTAGGAAGAAGAATGACAGAGGGTAAAACAGAAAAAAGAAAATCAGCAATTTGATCACCATTCATTAAAGGGAATTAATAGATGCTGTCTCAAGTAGTATTTCTCAACAATTTTTTCATTATTGTTCTCCTAATGGATCTTTTAAAACATTTTTTTCTAATCACACCTATGAAATTTTAATACTAGAGATGTACTATATATCTCTTTATATATACTACAGATATCTGAATTTTCTGTATACATAAATATAAAGCTTATTCTTTTATTCAATATAAGGTTATAGATGACTAAACATAAAAATTTTAAATTAAAAATTTGAAAATGATTTACATTTAACTTTACTTTATAGCCCTGTTTTCTGAGAAATGTTTAATGTAATCTTTTTGCTTAAATAAACTATAATCCATTAAATCATATAAGCAAATTAGCAATTTATATAATTTTTTTTTTAATTTTTTTCTTTTTTTTTTTATTTTTTCAAACTCCTAGCCTCGAGAGATGCAATTTATATAAATATAAAACAGTAGTAGCAATATAGTCAAATTTTAAGAATCATTCGAAACTGCTATTTGTCCAGCAAAAGGAAACAATTAAAAAATTAATAGCTTAAACATTATTTCAGCAAACTTTTAACTTTTGCTTACTATAAGAAAGTTTTAACTTAATTAGCTTACTAGATATTCATTCAGATATTATTGACATTTTTTCTTTTCAGCAATTCATGTGATTAATGATGGCTTAAAATAACTTCTGTAGAATTAAGTAATAAATTATAATTTTTAAAATTAATTCTCAAAGCCCAAGTCACAAAAGCATCCATAATCAAACATAAACATTACCTACAAGGCAGCCAATGGAAGCAACCTCTTGTGACATGACTTTGAGACAAAGTAATTGATTAAAAGTCCTCTAATACAGCTATTTATTCTCCATAGTTTTATAACCCTGACATTGTACACATTTTTAACTTCCATTCCATGTCAATGCTGCTCATGTGATACCCAATAAGACCAATGAAGGAAATAAATACTAAGGAACGTGATGTTGTTGGGTAGCACTGAGCTTTGGGGAGCCATACACCATTGTGATAGCTAAGATTTTTTTCACCTCCCACAAGAACCAATTTTGACTCCCTTGGTTGTAGTACTGCCTCTATTGAGAATGCATGATCTAAAGAAATAGAGGATTGCAGGCATTACATAATTAAAACTTCGCTAAATATGATAAATACTACACCCCCAAAATAAGGTAAACTGACCATATAGTGTAAGATGAAAACAATCAACACATTAAAAAAAAATAGGGCAAGAGGAGAGGTATAACAATATAATAATACAGAATTCCAGGACATATCTAAGATAATAACAAGTACGAAAAGGTTTAATTCAAATTATAGATTGGATCATAAAAGGAAGACTCAACTCCATGTTATATATGAGAGGCACACCTAAAATAAAGTGAAAAAAAAAATATATATATATATTTTTTTTTTTAGAGACAGAGTCTCACTCTGTTGCCCAGGCTAGAGTGCCGTGGCATCAGCCTACCTCAGCAACCACAGCAACCTCAAACTCCTGGGCTCAAGCTATCCTTCTGCCTCAGCCTCCTGAGTAGCTGGGACTACAGGCATGCGCCACTATGCCCGCCTAATTTTTTCTATATATATATTTTTAGCTGGCCAATTAATTTCTTTCTATTTTTAATAGAGACGGGGTCTTGCTCTTGCTCAGGCTGGTTTGGAATTCCTGACCTTGAGCGATCCTCCCACCTAGGCCTCCCAGAATGTTAGGATTATAGGCATGAGCCACCGTGCCTGGCCAAGATTTTAATATTAATACCACCCAAGGTGAAATTTAGCCGCCCCACAAAGTTTTAAATGAAACCAAGATGGGTTATTTTTAATTCTAAGGAGAATAATTCATTGGAAGATCTAATAGTTGTGAGTATCAATACATCAAGTAAGAGCCAAAGTAGAGGCCAGGCACGGTGGCTCACATCTGTAATTCTAATACACTGGGAAGCTAAAATGGGATTGCTTGAGGTCAGGAGTTCGAGACCAGCCTAAGCAAGAACAAGACTCTGTCTCTACTAAAAAAATAAAAATAAATAAAAATTAGCCGGGCAATTGAAAATAGCAACAACAACAAAAGAAGTAGCTGGGCGTGGTGGTGAATGCCTATGGTCCCAGCTACTCTGGAGGCTGAGGCAGGAGGATCTCTTAAGCCCAAGAGTTTGAGGTTGCCATGAGCTAGGCTGACGCCACTGTATTCACTCAAGCCCGAGCAACAGAGAAAGATTCTGTCTCAAGATAAAAAAAAAAAAACCTAAAGGAAAATAGACAAAAATAGGTAGAGGTTTTAATTTACTTCTATAAGTCCACCAAATAGAGTAAAATAAGATAGATATGGATAAACAGAATAATGTAATTAAAAAGGTATATTTGTTTGGTGTATGTTTAACTCAATATTCTGAAAATAGAAATATCCCTTTTTTTTTTTTTGAGACAGAGTCTCGCTTTGTTGTGAGTGCCGTGGCATCAGCCTCACTCACAGCAACCTCAAACTCCTGGGCTCAAGCAATCCTGCTGCCTCAGCCTCCCGAGTAGCTGGGACTACAGGCATGCGCCACCACACCCAGCTAATTTTATATATATATATATATTAGTTGGCCAATTAATTTCTTTCTATTTATAGTAGAGATGGGGTCTTGCTCTTGCTCAGGCTGGTTTCGAACTCCTGACCTCAAGCAATCCGCCCGTCTCGGCCTCCCAGAGTGCTAGGATTACAGGCTTGAGCCACTGCGCCCGGCCCCTTTTTTAAGTGCTTATAAAACATTCATAAAAACTGACTATGTATGGATACACATACACACATTCATAGTACAGAATGAGATAAATAGTATATACATTGTATAATCACAATGTAATAAAACTAAAAATGAACACCCAAACTTTGAAACAAAAAGGGTTGTCAACTCTTTGGGTTAAAAAAATGCAAACTAAAATTAGAAAATTACTACACATCAGAACCTATGAGATAGGAGAAGCAATCCTTAAAGGAAAATTCATGGCCTCAAATAAATGAATTAAATATTTGACTTCACAAAAGTAGGACAAATATAACAAATGAATATAATATCTAATAAAACACTTAAAATTGAATTCTTCAAAGGCTGTGACATATAATAACATATCAAGCAAAGACATTTAAACCTTTAATTTCCTTTATTTCTTTTTACTTAGGAATAATTAAAATGTAAAACTGCTCAATGTACATTTATATTCTAAGTGTGTACTACTATATATATATTTTTTAAGTACAGGAAGCATAATTGGTGATTTGCATTTTTGTAAGATATCCATAGAATGTGAAATATTAAGACACTCTAAGATTAGACTCAAAACATACAAAAAGATGCATGCTCCTCCGAAAAACTATTTAATAACTATCTGCAGAAGTTATATTTCATAATGAACCCAGAAAATTTGCATGGTAAAATACTTACATTCCCAATCTCAAAGTTTTGTCTCATTAGTAGGTAAAGGGAGGCGCTAGCATGTGACCGTATCGTACTGATGCTACTGCTACAGTGTCGGAGAAGCCTGAGGCATAAATCAGCACACTGCTCTGTCTCTTCTTCAAATAAGAGTTCAGGAAACTGCAACAAAACAACATTAACACTGACTTTTTACATTAAAAGTTCCAGAGATACGTTAATATAACCAGAACTGGAAATCTGTAAGTATAGCACAGAAATTAAAAGAATGGTTAAGGGACAATATTAGCTAATGGTTAATAGCATGGGCCACACAGTAAGGACAGACTGGGTTTGAATACTGATTATGCCACTTACTAGCTGGTAATGTGACCTTGGACAAATTTTCTCAACCATAAAATAGGCCTAATAATATTATTGATGGGATTGTTGTGAGGCTTTGATCAGATAATGTACATAAAACAGTATAGTATAGTGAACAATATCTATGAATTCTATAATATGTTTTTATTATTATAAAATAGTATGTAAGTTATTTTCACTGGTTAAATTGCATAAACATTTTTTTTTTTTTTTTTTTTTTTTTTTTGTATTTTTTCTTTGTATTCTGTCTTTTAGGATGACTAAGATGAAACAGCTCCCTTGAGAACTGAAGAATATACATATTTCCAGGGGAAAACTACATAGGAAATAAATATTTTTAGCAGATGAACACACAGAAATACCTTCTTTTCTGTTTACCACAGAATAAATTGATTCCACTGGGTTGGACTGCTTACACATTGAATTCTTGATAAATTGAGTTTAAAAAAAAGAGAAAAAGGTGAAAACAAGAGAAGTCCCATATTTAAGAGTAGCTATTAATTTCAGGCCCTTCTCCACATCAAAATTACTATTTTTTAAGCCACAAGTTAGCTAAAAGTGATCCAAATAAATAAATTCCAAAAGGCAGGCAACAGTAGAGAGGCAAAGAAGAATTAAGAATCTTAGGTTATCACTGACATTTTAACTACAACATATATTAACTAGTAAATGTGTCAAATAATCTTAGATAATGTTAATAAAGACAGCAAAGCCTGAAAACACTGCAGATACAAAATAACCTACCTTTGAAACCAAGGCTCTCTGTGTAGCAAAACAATGTTGTAGATAAACTGCACTTTGGTTACAGGCCATGCTATGTAGTAGCACTTTTAGCACCCCACCAAGGATGCTCTCTTTGGATTCTGTTACAGAAACTGTCTGCAATTTAAAAACAAACAAATAAAATAGACAGGTATCTGCAATTTGGTTAGGGAGGTAGAATATGTATAAACAAACAAACAAACAAACACATTTTTTAAAGATAACAAAGTGATAATATAAGATCTTGGAGGCTTCAAGAAGGAGTCGAGCAGGATTTGAATAAGAGAAGAAAGCGGGGCGGGGGCGGGGGGAGAAGATAGAATTTAAATGAGAAAAAAAGGGGAGCAAGGATATGATGGCGCAAAAACATAAGGTACTGTTTTAGGAAAACTGGTAAATAAATTTGGACTGACTTGAGGTTCATGTAGGAAATAACTGGAGATAAGGCTGAAAAACTAGAGTGGTGCCCGTGGCAAAAATGCTGGTTGTACTCAAACATTTTTTTCTATCTCCTTGAATTAACTGAAATCCTGAAGTTTAGCTGGGGACTTTGAATCCAGCTAGCGAGAGATGTGATCAAAAGAGACGTTTAACCTTCTGAGTCATGCCCTTAAAAGAACAAGTGTACTCTGTCCCTGATCTTTCTGTTCATGAAATGCAGACATGAGGCTGAAGTTCAAGCAACCATCTTGGATTATATATCCTGGACTCACTATTTCTTTTTATTCTCTTTGTAAGAATGGCTTTGACCTACACCAACTAACAGAGTACCAAAATATAAAGAGCTTTCAAAAGTCTTAAGAGTTTCCTATCTTTTTCTTTAGGTAATCAAAGAATATTAAAATTTTTATATTTTTAAAATTTTAATCAGGGTAATGAATGATAAAATATTTTAATAATAATTTCAGAAAAAACAGAGCGAATATCATGAAGCAGGTTACTATTGTAATAGCTTTGAAATAAGAACCTGAAAAAGTGATGGTAGTAGAAAAGGAAAGGAAGGTAACAGGAGAGAAACATAATTACTAAAACAACTGGGAGATCTTGCTAACTGCTTTAAATCCTGGTTCTTCCCCTTACCCACTGTGTCATCATAGGCAATTATTTAACATCTCTGTACCTCAGTATTCTCATCTACAAGATGGCAATATTGACAGTTTTGACTGCATGAGTTTCTTACAAGGATCAAATGAATTAAGATTTGTAAAGTGCTTAGGACAGCGTCTAACACAGAAAAAACTAAATAAATGTCAGTTATCACTATTGTTACTAACAGGATAATACTGCCTAGAGGGCTACTATTAGGAACAAATGAGATAATTATAGATGAAGAACTTAAAACATTGCTGTAGCATACAGAAGATAATGATGAACCCAACATATCTATATGTAGCTAGGGCTATATATGCTTGTTGAATATGATGGTAGAACACTCAAGTATAAATCCTCAGAGGATGTCTGGAAATGCACAAGACAAGGCCTCAAAGGGGAGAGACAGATACAGATTTTATAATCATCCTCAAAGAATAAACAGTTGACGCTGTGGGAATTTATAGAGAATCTCAGAATGCTTAGAACTAAACTTCTAGGAACTACTAATATTTAAATTTAATTATACAGTTCAATAAATACTTTATGCCCAACCCCAATTTACCAAACCTGTATTTTAAATCCTTCTTCTTTGTACTATTACCTGTACAATAATCTCTAATGTATCCAAAATGATTAGGTTTGCTTCAGTAGCCAGGTTTCCATCAATCAATGCTTCATGTTCAATCTCTGCTCTTGACCTAAAATAAAATATTATAAGAAATTATATTTATCGTTTTAAAGCCACATTTCTAAAAAGACTTAAGGATGCATAGAAATGAAAACTTGAAATCATTTTCAATATTTACCTGAATAAAAAATTGTAAGAGAGTAAGAAAAAAGACAACATTTTCCCTACTGTTTTCTTACCCTACATTTTGTTAACTATGCAAATACACATTTTCTCACCCCATTACAGAAGCACAATGCCACTAAAAGCATAAATGTTTGTTTTAGCTTTCTGACAGTTTTATTGTAAATGGCACTGACACTAGGTGGTGCTATGTTGGCTTGTATTTAGGGACTGCTTCATGTAAAGCAACATTCAAATGTTTAGTATTCATCTTACCACTACAAAGATTTCCAATGTATTTATTCAGGGTAAAAGTGCTTATTTTTCCTAGGGTTTCATCTAATTTCCCCAAAAGTTTTGATATAAATATGCTCAGATAATAATTTAACTCCGTAATGAGTCTGGATGAAATCATTCATTGTAAACAAAATAATGTGGAAAAAAAGAGATAACTATGTGAGCTGATGGGTATGTTAATTAGCTTGATTGTGGTGATCATTTCACAATTGTACACATATACCAAAAGATCATACAGTATCCCGTAAATATATACAACTTTGTCAGTTATAACCGAATAAAGCTGGGAAAAATAATAAAAGAAAAACAAAACAAAACAATTTGATACAATAAAGTGATTTAAATACTAATATAAAAGTATCATTTAATGAAAATAAAACAATTAAGAATAACTATACATGATTTGTGGATAAAGTTGACATTTTTGTTTTATAGTAATAGATATATATAAACTATATATCACATCAAAGTAGACAAAACAATACATAAATCAAAGTGAAAGTACAAAGACATATTAAATGTTAATTGTTCAAAGTTCTTAGAACTCCAAGTCTCTGAATCTTTATTACCACCAGTAAAGAGAATACTTCATAAATTTACATTTTATGAATTAACCAAACTGACTTCAGAACATCATTATCAGAATTCAACTGGAAAAAGTAAATAATGTTCAAACTTAAAATTCCCAGTGAGATTTTATAAAGAAACATAGCAGTAATGAGACAGTTTAAACAAAACAATCAGGAAAACGCCAAAAAAGTCTTCCTCAAAACACAGCAATATAAGAGAACAGGCTGTATAAATACAAAATAAAGCAATATACTAATAATATAGTACCTGGCTGCTTTGTCATTTCTAAAAAACATAATACATGTACAAAACAGAGAAACGGATGTGGACAGAGAGAAGAGAGGAAAGCACACATTCAAAGTTTAAGAATTTTAAAATTTATATTATATTCAATATCTGATTATTCCAAACTCTAATAATATGGTACAGAGATTGCTGTTTCTCTCTGCTGGCTCTCGCAGGGCCTTGTTTCTTGTGTTTTATGACTTTACTGTCTGTGAGAAAATTTTTGTGAAAGTTCATTTGTGACGATCTTCTAAGGCTTGGGCTAAAGATGGTTCTCAGGATGACCAACCATCCTGGTTTGCCTTAGGACAGGACTAAAGGGCTCCCTGGGATGTAGGAGAACCAGTGCTAAAACTGGGAGAGTCAGGCAAACCTGAATAAGTGGGTCATCCTATTTCAATGTTTCTGGGTCAGTCAAGCTACCTGAAAGCTAACTTGTAATTATAAACTCTCAAGAGAAAAACTTTAGCCCCTCGACTTAATGCCAGGCAAGTTTACCTGTAGTCAACCTAGGCAGTGAGAAGGGTAGACTCTTCTAAGTGCCTTTGTAGTTGTTTTTGGTAGTAGGATGAGTCAGTGTACCTAGTTTGCCTTCGTGCTAGAAACAGAAGACCTGTGTTGTGTTTTGTCTTTAATTATATTCTTATGTATTTAATTTTAGAATATTACAGGGGTACAAATGTTTAGGTTACATATATTGTTTTTGTCCCACCTGAGTCAGAACTACAAGCTTGCCCATCCCCCAGACAGTGTGCACCACACTCATTAGGTGTGAATATACCCATCCCCTCCTATCTGCCTGACACCCAATGAATGTTACTGCCATATGTGCACTTTTTTTTCCTTTTATATATATATATATATAAAATACAGATATAAATCTATATACATATATTCATATTTATATATATAAAACATATATATGTTTATTTATTTTAGAATATACAGGGGTACAAATGTTTAATTATATTCTAAGCTCCAAGAAGGCAAATATTAGTTTTCTAATTTTTTGTAATACTTGAAATATTTTGTTCATTGTGAAACCAAAAATATGTTCAGAAAATAGTTGCTAAATGCATTTTCCAAGAGAATGTGTTGGAGAAAATGGAGTTTAAAATATAACATTTTGGGCCAGGCGCGGTGGCTCACGCCTGTAATCCTAGCTCTCTGGGAGGCCGAGGCGGGCGGATTGCTCAAGGTCAGGAGTTTAAAACCAGCCTGAGCAAGAGCAAGACCCCGTCTCTACTATAAATAGAAAGAAATTAATTGGCCAACTGATATATATATAAAAAATTAGCTGGGCATGGTGGCGCATGCCTGTAGTCCCAGCTACTCAGGAGGCTGAGGCAGAAGGATCGCTTGAGCCCAGGAGTTTGAGGTTGCTGTGAGCTAGGCTGCCGCCACGGCACTCACTCTAGCCTGGACAACAAAGCGAGACTCTGTCTCCCAAAAAAAACCAAACAAACAAAAAAAATTTTGTTTTATTATGCCAAATGAAAACTCTTCTCCAACCTTTTATAATCTAAAATTTAAAAATTAAATATTATTTTAAATTAATTAATTAATTAAATATTAATTAAATATAATTAAATATATTTTGTCTTCTAAGATTTGAATACTAATAAATATAAAACTAAAATTAATCATTTTCCTCTTGCATTTGAAATCCAACAAGTCTATCAGTGACATAAAATAGAAGAAGGTTATATTACTTGTCAAACTTCTCTGTGTTCTGACGCCAGTGAGTCATATCTTTTCTCCACCTCAGATTTTCTTGACTTCCAAAGGCACTTCCAGATGGGCTTCTCTCTGTCAAATAAATTTCAAAACCAACTTAAAAATGTCATTTCAAGGCCGGGCGCTGTGGCTCACGCCTGTAATCCTAGCTCTTGGGAGGCCGAGGCGGGCGGATTGCTCAAGGTCAGGAGTTCAAAACCAGCCTGAGCAAGAGCGAGACCCCGTCTCTACTATAAATAGAAAGAAATTAATTGGCCAACTGATATATATATAAAAAATTAGCTGGGCATGGTGGCGCATGCCTGTAGTCCCAGCTACTCAGGAGGCTGAGGCAGAAGGATCGCTTGAGCCCAGGAGTTTGAGGTTGCTGTGAGCTAGGCTGACGCCACGGCACTCACTCTAGCCTGGACAACAAAGCGAGACTCTGTCTCAAAAAAAAAAAAAAAAAAAAATGTCATTTCAGTTGGACCACATATATGTATATTTGCAAACATATGAGAAATATTTCACAACATTACTTTTGTACACAGCCAATTTATCTTTAGTACAAGTGAAGAAATCTGAAAATGGTGCTTAAAAATTTTCACAATAGTTATGAAGAAATGTATTTGCTACCTGGAATATTTTTTGAAAAAAACCTCACCCTTTTAAATACACAAATATTCTAACACTGATTTCCTTAAAATCTTAACCATGGCTACATGATACACCTTATGATACAACCTTATTTCCTACCATTCTCCCTCTTGATTACCCCACTCCAGTAACTGTTCTTCTTGCTATTCCCTGTCAACATATATAGTCTCATTCTATATGCTCCTGATTTAGTACCTGTGCAATGGTTTTTGTTTCTTTTATCTGATTGTTCTTCCCACAAATTTTCACTGGCTAATCATTCATCACCTCCTCAGAAACGCTTTTTCCCACTCTCCAATACTTCCTTTCCTTTTAATTTGCTTTGTTCCTTTTCATGTTACTCATGACCACAAGAATATAAGTTACTTCAGAACAGAAATGATATCGGTTTTGTCCAGCACTTTATGTCAATGCTGATAAACTATCTGTCACATATTGAGAACTCAACAAATTTCTGTTTAATAAATAAACAAAATAGGAAGGATTCCTAAAGTAATTATTTCCTTTGATCTACATACAGCAGGACAAGAGGAAAAATGGGGCTTTCTCTCAAGAAGTTTCTAGGTTTGAAGGCAGACTGAATGGTATGGGCTCCTTTAAGGGGCAGCAGCAATAGAAATAATTCATATGAATCCATCAGAAGTGTGAGAAGGCATTGAGAATTATGGAGAAATATACAAATACACAAATAATGGACTTGGTCATGATATCAAGCTTTCAATTAGAAAACTTTTGAAAAAGATGAGACTTTAAATTGGTTGGAAAGATGAAAGAGTAATGAAAGTAACAATTCAGAATTCAAACAGAAATTTTAAAAATACTGAGAAATAAAAATACAAAAAAAGTACAACTACTATATATCATTAAAAAATACAAAAAAACTACTGAGAAACAATATCATTTGCTGCACAAAAAACATGTCTGCATTTCTTCTTTCTTTCCCTTCCTTTTCTTTCTCTCTTTTTTGTTTTGAAATCTCTATATTTAAGAAAGTTTATGAAAGAAAACAAAAAAGATATGCCTATATTAAGATATTTAGCAAAATAAATATCTATTTACATTTCTATAGGCACTTTTCTTTCCCCAAGAAATTGTGTCTCACCTCCTTAGTTAATAGTTTCTATTATTAGGTAACCTAGCTTAAATGTACAAATGTAAGATTTGAAAAGGCTTAATTTTTCTAAGAAAAAAAGAACTTCAATTCCTATATTGAAACAAAAACAGTTGTCCTGAGGCCACAGGTTTAAAAATATTACAAATATATATTAACAATTCCCTTCTCTCTGTCACTTAATTTATGATCTTAGGCAAGTTACTTACTTCTTTGAATTTTAGTTCTTAATTTAAAAGATGAGTATAATTATTCATTAGGTTTTGGTATTAATTAAATGACCTAGGTAAAAGTTAATTTTCATATTTTATTTTAGAGAGTTATAGATAATAAATGAGTTAAAAGAAAAACCCAAAAGCACATTGTAATCTATATATAAGTAAAGTGAAAAAATGGTGTTCTACTAATTCCTTTAAAGGAAAAGATCGTGTCTTACTCATTGTTAAATTCCAACTACTCATTATGAACAAAATATACTTTAAGTGTATTTTATAGGCTAGGCATGGTAGCTCATGCCTGTAATCCTAGCACTTTGGGAGGCTGAGGTGGGAGGATCACCTGAGGCCAGGAGTTTGAGACCAGCTTGAGCAACATAGTGAGACAGAGAATAGAAAAATTAGCTGGGTATAGTGGCACGTGCCTGTAGTTCCAGCTTTTTGGGAGGCTGAGGCAGGGGGATTGCTTGAGCCCAGGAGTTTGAGGGTGCAGTGAGCTATGATGATGCCAATAAACTCTAGCCTGGGCAACAGAGTGAGTCTCTGTCTCCAAAAAACAAAAAAGAAAAAATATATATATATTATATACACACACACACATACATCCTTAAATAGATGATCACTATGGCCTGTCAGAAACCAATAATTTAAAACTTAATTTACATATACATTCACATTTTAGTCAGCAAATATATATTGTGCTGTTAGCATGTGTGAAGTACACAGATTACTAAGGCATGTTCCTGACTTTAGGGAACTCTTAGCAACAATATTATTTGTATGTCACTTTGGCATTCACAAAATGTTTGTGCATGAATGGTCATTATAAAGATGATATGGTAAGTTAGTTACATTACCTTCTAAATTCTCAAAATAATCACAAGTAGATGAGGTAAAGGAAGGTGGAGAGATTAAGTGACTAGGCCAGAGTTATATGACTAATGAGCAGCAGACCTGGGATTAGAAAACAGGCCTCAAATGCTACCAAACTGTTTTCTTTCCCTGGACTATCTGCATTTGATGGGCAATATATTTGCTTTATATACAGGGTATATTTATTCATTATGCAAACCAGACATTTTTAAGAGTAAAAAGGGATGCTATATAGAATGAACCCTAATGTAAACTATGGATTCTTATGTTAATGTAGGTTCACTAATTATAACAAATGTGCAGTTCTGGTGGGGGATGTTGATAACAGGGGAGACTATGCATGTGTGGGGACAAGGGGTATATGGGAAATTTCTGTGCTTTTGCTCAATATTGCTGTCAACCTTTTGAAAACTGCTCTAAAAAAATACAGTCTATTTAATCAATTAATTTATTTTTATTAAAAACATTTTTTTAGGGACAGGGTCTTGTACTTTCACCCAGGCAAGTATGCAGTGGCATGATCATAGCTCACTGTAACCTCAGACTCCTGGGCTCAAATGATCCTCCTGCCTCTACCTTCCAAATAGCTGGAACTATAGGCATGAGCTACCATGCCCAACCCTGAAGTCTATTTAAAAAGGGGGAACAGATGCTATTAATAATCACAGAAGGGTACCAGGCATAAACTGAGACTATCTAAAGCAAACTGGAAGTATGGTCACCCCTCTTAAATCAGAATTCTAACTTGCATTCTTGCAGAGAAATGATTATTCAAGTTCATTTACAATTATAGTTAAAACACTTTTTAAAAAGTATAAGATTGTCATAGAAGACTTGCAACAATGATCATTACAATATATGATTCAAGGAAATTGAAAAAATCCTCACCAGAAGGAGAAGTTATTGTGTACGTACCAAGCTGTCCTCGGCTTCGGCGCACCATTTCTTGCCTAGCACCTATGCTCCCAAGGATAGCTTCTTCAAGCTTTGCTCTCATGTCTTTTGATTTCTTAAAGGTCAAACTATTCATTCTTTCAAACACTTTTTTCCCCTAAAATTTAAACATTAGGAAAGAAGAGGTATTGAGGAAATTTTCTTCTTCCTTTTCCACATTTTCTTTCTTGTTCTTTGCAATGTTATAATGCCCACTTACTTTGTATTCGAAGCAAGATACACAGAGATAAAGCAGATCTAATAGCCGGTTTAGCTGCAGGACTGAGAGATCTGTAAACCACTTTTGTAGAACTGTTTCATCTGCATTTTTGAGAACCCAAAGTAGACAGATCAAAAGGCTTCGACTTGATTCTGCAGAAAAGGTAGTGTGTTGCCTGCCACTCTGAAATAAAGAGTAGTAGAATGAGCGAGATTGACAAATGACCATTTCTTGGTTTTTGGTTGTCAACTGTTTTCTTCTAAAAACAAACAAAAATTGCTTTAAAAATAACATATTTAAAATGCCACTTGATTTATGTAATACTTGTATAAAACAGTTATACAGAACCTTACTAAGAGCCTGAAGTCTAATGAACCTTTCATGGCAATAGAAGTTTGTTTTCATCTATGGTAGAATTAGTTGCCAGCAGAGAATAAATAAATGTTAATAGAAAACCTAAATGGAAAAACTAAAGGTTTCTATCATTAAAAACTAAAAGATACCTACCACAGAATATTAAACATTATGGAAATATAGGGAAAAAGTAACTGAATCAGTAAATAAGAGTGGGGTAAGAATAGAAAACAATAACAAAATAATGTTTATCAGGCTTAGAGAACTATTGTTTCTGATCAAGGATCACTGACATAAAAGGGAAAGTCATAGGTGATATAGAAATGAAAAGCTATTTTTACTTATAGCATGTAAGGTTGAAATGCTATTTTTAATTTTCAATCTCCTTTATTTTAGAAGTAGGCACTTTTTGTAGATGAACTTTCAGGCATGCATAAATATATAGCACTAACTCAAATTTTCAAGTAGCTATTTTTTAGAAATACAATCGAAAAGTTATTCTCAATTTGACAAACAGACATATCTTGACATCTCTTATATTCCCACATAAATTGTCAATAACACAGTGGGAAACACTTTGAAGAAAGTAAAATATTAAAAAGACTGAGTGATGTAAAGATGCCACTTTTTCTCCAAATTGTTCTATCGGATCATTGCATTTGATTTCCAATCAAAATCCCAGTCAGGTTTTCCTACAAGTTTGACAAACTGATTTTTAAAATTTAATGGGAGAAAAGCAAAGGGCCAAAAATAGCCAAGATATTCTTGAAGAAGAACCAAGTGGGATGGTAAGGGGTAGGGAGACAAATTTGTTCTACCAGATATCAACATTTATTAAAAAGTTAGAATAACTACGACAATTTGATTTTGGCATATAGACAAATAGTCTGATGGTATAGAGAGCATAAAAATGTCCTATGCATATCTGAAAATCTGATCTGTGACAGAGTTGGCACTATGGATCAGTGATGAAAGGATGGATTGTTTAATAAATGATGTTATATAAAAAAATAAATTCTAGGCAAAAAATTTAAATGCAAAAGGCAAGAGTTTAAAACTTTTAAAAGAAAATATAAGAGAATATGTTTATAATCTTGAGGATATCTTAAATAAGACATAAAAAGTAGAAATCATAAGCCACAAAAAAGATGGTCACATTTGTCTACATTAAATTTGAAAATGTATGTTCATTTAAATAAATAAATTGCAAAGGCACATCATATTTATTAATCACCTAAAATAAATACCTTAGGTTGTTAGTTCTTAATTTTCTGGTTGAGAAGGGATGACCTCTAGAAAATAAAGAATTCTTTCATAACACCATTACCAGGAGTGAGGAAGAGATCCCAGAGTTCTATATTTTCGAGGCAAGATTCATACTACTCCCTCCACATTACCATAGCCACAGTTTCTTTCACCTGTACTATCTGCCTTCAGACCATCAGGATTAATCTCACTAAGTTCTTTATCACAGTTTGTATCTATCACCTTAATAAGCCCAGCCTTCAGAAGCCTTAATTCACGCCTTAGACTATGATCGACATATGTATAGTTCTTTATATTCTCTTTTCTGACCTCATTTGCCACCTGAAATTCTTCCACTATGACCCCTGGAACACATTATTAGTCATCAACAAAACTGCCTTATATATATGTTCACCAACTTCGTTGAACATTTCTTTCATCTAGCCCTGGAGGACTGAAGGTAGGATAGGAGAAACTTCCTTGCTCCTCAAGGTTCCCTGCAGAATATTTTCTTTTTCCTCTATAGGAATATACAAACTTGAAACTCATTTTATGAGACTATACCACCTGCTAACCTTCATCATTGCAGTCATATACTAATCCCCAGAAGACTAGCCCTTATATCTTATTGCTTTTAGCACCTAACTTACTTACAATACTTTGTCATAGTCCTTAGTGATTTTAATGTCCATGCTATTTGATTCTTTTTTAAAATTTCAAAATATTAAGGGGGTACAAAGGTTTTTGTTACATGGATACCTTTTATAATGCCTAAGTCAGGGCTATTAGTGTGCTCATCACCTGAATAGTGTTCACTGTACCTATTAAGTAGGTTTTGACCTCTCCCCTTCTCCCCTCTACCCTCTTCTTGATTTCCAATGACCTTTACTTCTCTCTGTGCCTATGTGTGCCCATCAATGTCCATGTATTTGACTCTCTAGATATCCTGTATAATTTTTTGTTTCTTCTAATGATCACACTTACCCTTGCAGTCAAACACTAGATCTTTTATTACAATTATGGCATGCACTCCCCAAATCTCCATTTTAAAGATCCTTCTCCACAACTACCACTTCAACTTTCCATCTCACCACTTTCTATAAGTAAGCTCCAAAATGCACACAATACCAAGTGCTAGCAAGAACATGGATCAACAAATACTTATTCATTGCTGGTGGGAGTGTAAATTGGTACAACCATTTTGGAAAACAATTGAACCAAGTAAAACTGAACATGCGTACATACTCGACCCTGGATTCCACTTCTAGGTGTAAGCCCTAGTGAAACTCTTCTATAGAGTGATGTACAAGAACATTCATGACACCTTTATTTGTAATAGCCCAAAACTACAAAAAATACAAACTTCCTCTGAGAAGAAAATGAATACATAATGTAAAATACAAATAGATTGTAATGGCATTATAGACTATAGCTGTACATATCAACATGAACGACTTTTATAAACATATATAAAAAAATCAAGACATACAAGTATATACAGTATATATTCATAAAAAGGTTAAAATACATAAAAGTGAAGAAAATATTGTTTAGGAATATATACATATATGGCAAAACTATAAAGAAAAGGAAGGAGGGACTTCTGTTTTGGCTGAACTAGGTAATTCAAACTAACACTCACTAAAAATGTGCAAACTTGAAAGTATAAAGAGAAAGGTTTTTGGAAAAAATAGAAGAAACAAATAGAATCTAGGAAACTGAAAAAAATCTACCCAATAACCAAATTACAAACTCAATGTTTTGGTTTAATATAATATCAGGGATAATTAAGGAGAGAATAAGTAAACTAGAAGATAGAACAAAAGAAACAATCTAGCATGAAGCACAGGTTAAAAAAAGATGGGATATTCAGAAGAAGGACAGAGACACAGAAGACATAATAAAAAGGACTAACATATGTTTAACTAGAATATGAAAAGAAGAGAGACAGATGGAGAAGAGGCCATACTTGGGCAGATAATGGCTGATTACTGTACAGAACTGAAGACAGATGCTGAATCATAGATTTAAGAAGTCCAAAAATGCAAAGCAGAATAAATATAAAGAAATTCAACAAAGTAAAACCATAGGAAACCAATCCTAATGATAATATCATAAACAAGTAAGAGAAAAAAATGATAATCTTCAAAGAAGCAATAGGTTACAGTTGACTTATCAAAAGCTGCAACAGAAATAAGACAGTGAAAACAACATTCTCAACACACTGATATAAAACAGGAAACTCACATTCTATTAAAAAAATTCTAAAGAATAAAAATCAAATAAAAACAGTTTTCCTACAAACACTGAGAGAGTTCACCACAGGCAAACTCACAGTATAAAAAATTCTAAAGAACATATTTCAAAAAGAAGAAAAATGATTTCACACAGGTTAGAAATTCAGGAAAGAATGAAGAGCAAAAACAGTGGTGAACACATAGGCAAATCTATATAACTGATTCTATATAGCCATAATAATGCCTTGTGAGTTTTAATGATATATAAAATTAAAGACAGCATTTAAGTTGGCAGAGAGGTAACTAAAGTCAACCTGTTCTAAGATCCTTCTATTAACCAAGGTGAAAGTAAATATACTGATTAACATTAGACTGAATAATTTGAGGATGCATACTGTGATTTCTAATGCAATCATAAATAGAATAGAAACAGAATGTATAACTCCCAAAATGGTAGGGAGGAAAAAGTAGAATGGGGAAAAAATGTAATGAGGAAAAGATAATCCAAAAGCAGTCAATAAATGAGAGGGGGAAAAACTCACATAATAGGTGAGACAATATAAAGTAAAAAAATAAAATGTTAACTACATTAGACTTAATTATACTAAATGTACACAAATCACAAACTCTAGAAAAAGGAAAAGATTCACAGACCAGATTTTTAAGATACAAGACAAGCTCTAACTCTGTGCTGTTTATAAAAGATATATCTAAAACATAAGGATAGGCCGGGTGCAGTGGCTCACGCCTGTAATCCTAGCACTCTGAGAGGCTGAGGAGGGAGGATTGCTTTAGTTCATGAGTTTGAGACCAGCCTGAGCAAAAGTGAGACTCCATTTCTACTAAAAAAAAAAAAAAAAAAAAAATAGCCAGGCATGGTGGCATGTGCCTGTAGTCCCAGCTACTCGGGAGGCTAAGGCAGGAGGATTACTGGAGCCCAGGAGTTTGAGGTTACAGTGACCTATGATGGTGACCCAGCACTCCAGCCTAGGATGACAAGAACCTGTCTCAAATCAATCAGTCAATCAATCAATCATACAAGTTACTTAGAACTTGATATGCCAAAAAACTGAATAAATTTCTACTAGAATAAAATTTACAAAAACCAGTGTAAGAAGAAATAGAAAACTTGGACAATCTTATAGCCATTGAAGAAATTAAGTCAGTAACTTTAAAACTTAAAAAAAAACAAAAGTGACTTGGGCCTGTAATCCCAGCTACTTGGGAGGCTGGGGCATGAGGATCACTTGTGGCCAGGAGTTTGAGGTTGCAGTGAGCTATGATTTTGTCATCGCACTCCAGCCTGGGCCACAAAGCAATACCTTGTCTTTAAAAAGAAAAAAAAGA